AGAGTTTGGGGAAAATAGAAACTTGACATTCAGGAGTTGTGGTTGCTGGGATTTATAGTTCACCTACAATCACAGAGCATTGGGACAAACCTCCCATGTGGGCCACAGCAACGCGTGGCAGGGGACGGCTAGTAGTCTTGCATAAAAACCCAACGTTTTTATGGGAGCCACTAAATGCCACTTTGGTCCAAACGCCGCACCACCAAGGAGGAAGAGATCTCATGCCTCTCGGTGTGCTTTCCTGCTGCCCATAGGAAGGCCATGCAGCTGCTTTGCTCTGCTTCCTCATCCTACTCACCGGCTGCCGCACAAACTTGTCAGTCAAAGCCTCGTAGTCCTTCGGGGTGAAGGGTACAATCGACTGCTGCTGGGCACTCATGGTAAACAGGGGCTGAAGGAAAGGATAGGATGCAGGAGAGCTTAATAACGATGATCTGGGAGCACCATTGAAACTCAGAGAAAGAAGTTGGCAACATATTCTTTTGTTGTTTACAAGGATGTTCTTGGGATTTGACACTGTATGTATCCATACCTTTTGGCTGGTAGTCCCAGGCTCATGCTATTACACTGACAACATTTCTAGCAAAATATAAATGACAGATGTGTTGTTGAAGGTTTTCATGGACGGTTACTGTGAGTTTTCTGGTCTGTGTGGCCATGTTCCAGTAGCATTCTCTCCTGACATTTCACTTGCATCTGTGGTAAGCATCCTCAGAGATTCTGTTCGCAGTGAGGCAAGTGGGGTGTGTGTGTGTATGTATGTATGTATGTATGTATGTATATGTATGTTTGTTGTTGTTCATGTATGTATGTATGTATATGTATGTTGTTGTTGTTGTTCTCCGACTCTTCGTGACCTCATGGACCAGCCCACGCCAGAGCTATGTATATATATGTGTGTGTGTGTGTGTGTGTATCTATATCTATCTATCTATCTATCTAACTGTGAGATTATGTCCAAGGTGGGAGAAAGAACCCTTGTCTGTTTAAAGCAAGTGTGAATGTTACAATTAGCAAGCATGATTAGCACTGAGCAGCCATGAATCTGCAAAGTCAATCAGTGAGGGTATTTGCATAAAGGTAGTGAGTAAGGCAAGTGGAGCAATTGTATGTATGTATATATATATATACAAACACACACGCCTGTGTAATGATATCTAGGGTGGGAGAAAGAACTCTTGTTTGTTTAAAGCAAGTGTGAATGTTGCAATTAGCAAGCATGATTAGCACTGAGTAGCCATGAAGGTGCAAAGTCAATCAGCGAGGGTATCTGCATAGAGGTAGCCTGCCCTCTGTTGCCTGAAGGCATCCTTTGTTTGGGAGGTGTTAACAAGCAACAGAGGCAAGGCCACCATTATGCAAATACCCTCACTGATTGACTTTGCAAACTTCATTATATTTAATACTATTTAAGCTTGTTAATTGCAACATTCACATGTGCT